TTTTTCAAGCTCCAAGGACCAGGGTTTGAATCTTATCAACCACTTGGGACCAGCTCCCAAAGCACAGCTCTTAGTCACTGCACTATAGGGGGCTGGCCTGGGAGACTTGATTTTTGTTTTGTTTTGTTTTGTTTTGTTTGAGAGATTTTTGCTTTAGGGCTCATATGCTTGCTGGAAAGATAAAAAGTGAGAAATCATCTATTAGGGGTATGGCCACACCACAATCCCTTCTCCATTCTCCTCATGGGATTTCGAGTATGCATGCACATGCACATGTACACGCACTTGCCGTGAGTTTCAAACCACTGGGTCTGGGACTTAAACTGCAATTGGCCACATGGGAGTCCAGTGCCTTGACCACTACACTACCTGCTGGCCCCCAGACTTGATTGTTTTAAAGATGATATACTATTAGATCACCAGGAAAGTCATGACTCATTTTTGCATAGGAAAACAGAAAAAAAACCTTTCTCAGCAATCTAATAGTTTACCAAGGGTCCCATAACAAAATACCACAGACTGGATGGCTTAAACAACAGCCCTTATTTTCTGATTTTCAGAGGCTAGTTTAAGATCAAGGTATTAGCAGACTTAATTTCATCTGAGGTCTCCCTCTATTACTTGCGAATGGCTGCTTTGTTGCTGTGTCTTCACATGGTCTTTCTCTGTTCTCTTGCTTCCTTGGTCTCTTCTTAGGAAGACACCAGTTAGATAGGATTAGAGTCCACCTAAACAGCCTTATTTTAACTTAGTCATCTTTTTAAAGGCTGCATCTCCAAATACAGTCACATAAGATAATGATTTAGAACTTCAACATAAGAATTTAAAGAGGGACCAGCAGTTGGCATAATGGCTATGTCGCTGGACTCCCATGTAGCCTACTGCGGTTCAAGTCCCAGACCCGGTGTCTTAAACTCACGCCAGGTGTGTGCATGTGCATGCCCAAGATCCTGAGAGGAGAATGGAGGAAAAGAGATTGCAGTGTGGCCATCCCCCCTGGGGGGTGATTTCTTGCTTTCTGTCTCTCTGTCTCTCTCTCTCTGGCGAGCACCCTATAAGAAAACCTCTCCAAAAAAAAAAAAAATGCAAGTATTATAAACTAAGAATTTTACATATTTATTAAATAAAATAATATAGAATTAAATTATTCTATCAATAATCATATACAAAATATGTGCACATGCATAAACATGTACAAAGAAAAATATTGACATACACAGGAAGAGAGTGAGCATTATATCTCTTAAATTAATGATATATATTCTTTGGGAAGCTGTGTGGCCTGATGGTTAGAGAGCTAGATCCCACATGGCCAACTGTGTGATTTGAATCTCTGGCCTGGGAACTTGAAAAGCATGCCAGGTACCTGTGTGTGTGTGTGTGTGTGCCCCAAACCCCATAAGGATAGAGAAATGAAGGAAAAGGGATTGGAACATGACCACACCCCCTGAGAAGTGCTTTCTCCTCCCCTTTTTTGTCTCCCTCTGTTGAGTGCACATGCCCTCTTATAAATTTAAAAAAATATATATATATGTGTGTGTGTGTGTGTGTGTGTGTGTGTACATACATATATGGCTGACTGCGGTTCGAGTCAGTCAGTTCGAGTATATACATATATGTATGGTATATATATATATATATTTTTTTTTTTTTTTAGAGATTTTTGCTATAGGGCGTGTGTACCCGCCAGAAAGATAGAAAGAGACAGAGAGATAGAAAGCAAGGAATCACTCCCCAGGGAGGATGGCCATGCTGCAGCCGCAGTCCCTTTTCCTTCATTCTCCTTTCGGGATCTTGGGCATGCACGCCCACGTGCCCAGTGTGAGTTTAAGCCACCAGGTCTGGGACTCGAACCACAGTTGACTACATGGGAATCCAGTGACATAGCCATTACGCTAACTGCTGGTCCCAATCCAAAGCCATTCATATATTAAACAGCTCTTAAATTTTAAGTTAAAGGGACCAGCAGATGGTATAATGGTTACATCACTAGACTCCCACATAATCAACCACAATTCAATTCCCAGACCCTGCAGCTTAAAACCATACTGGGCACGTGTGTGTGCGTGCCCAAGATCCCAAGAAGAGAATGGAGGAGAAGAGATTGCAATGTGGCCATCTCCTCTCAGGTGGGGTTTCTTGCTTTTGTCTCCCTGGCACATGCACGTGCCCTATAGCAAAAATCTCTCAAAAAATTTTTTTAAGTTAAATAAAAGTAAAATGGACAGAATAAATGAAAAGGCAATTTACAGAAAGCATTCCTAGAGAGCCAGCACATTTGCCAAGATATTAAGTTTATTAATAATTAAAGAAATACAAATTAAAGTAATAATGAGGTAACACCTTTTACCCATCAGACCTCCCAACATTATAAAATAAGTGACTCTCAGGTCCAGCAGGTGACATGGTGGTTGGAGTGTTGGACTTTCACATGGCCGGTTGTGGTTCAAGTCTTGGATCTGGAGGCTTGCTTTCTTACTTTGTCTCTCTCTTGTGAGTGCACATACCCTAGAGCAAATTTTAAAATAATAATAAATAAACTTAAATAAATAATTTTTTAAATTATTATTTATTTAATTTTATTTATTCATTCATTTATTTTAATTTGACCAGAGAGAGACACACACAGAGAGAGAGAGAAAGGGAGAAAGGAAGCCGCCAGGTCTGGGACTCGAACCGTGGTCAGCCAGGTGGGAGTGTCCAGCACCTTAACCACAACGCCACCTGCTGGTCCCCAGTAAATAATTTTTTAAGAAAAAGGTAAGTGAATCTCAAAAACATAATGCTGTGTTAAGTATGTGACAAATGCCATATACATAAATTAGGAATTCATGTATACAACAAATATGTTATAGAAAACAAACAATGAAAGGATACACATTAAACATTAGCTTTCTGGAGTGGTGGAGATGAAAGTAAATAGAAAAATAAAATTAGGAATAGTATTTATTGCTAGAGGATGTGGAGGAAAAGGGAGCCTCTAGCACACTGCTGATAGAAATATGAAGTGTTACAGACTTCCTGGAAAACAGCATGATAACATATGTTAGTGTTTTCTTAGAAACAGAAGGGAATGGCCAAATAAATCATCCATACTGTAAAATAGCAGGTCATTGGAAAAGTCATGACACATGTTTGCATAGAAAAATGGAGAAAGGTATGTCATGACTTTTCTGACAACCCAATATTATGCCCTTAAAGGAAAATTGAGCTATATTTGATGCCTTGAAGGGATTTCGTAAGTTATAAGTGAATGAAAGATATAGAAAAGTGGAGCCAAGTGTAATGCCATTCTAAGAAACAGCGACACCTCCAATTTTTTTTTTTTTTTGGAGAGGTTTTTGCTATAGGGTCCATGCACTCACCAGACAGACAGAGACAGACAGAGAGACAGAAAGCGAGAAATCACCCCCCAGGGGGGATGGCTATGCCACAGTCCATTCTCCTCCTTTCGGGATCTTGGGCATGCACGCACACACGCCCGGCATGAATTTTAAACCACTGGGTCTGGGATGCAAACCGTGGTCGACTACATGGGAGTCCAGCGACATAGCCATTAGGCTAACTGCTGGTCCCTGACACCTCCAATCTTTTAAGTGTGCGTGTATTTTGTGTATATGAGCACAGAGAAAATAAAATATACACAGATTAGTTTAGGGAACTAAACAAATGGAAATGGGAAGGACAGGAAAAGAAAAAGAAAAATTGCACAGAAAAAAAAATCATAAATCTATTATCACATTCACTTATGAATGTGAAATTTTATATATGTAGGGGTATATGTAGACAGAAATTAAATGATATATTTATTGTTTGTATGAAGTTTTAATTTCTCAGGTGGTTGGAATTCCAGTCCACAGATGATACATGTTGCTCATATGGTCTTGGTTGTTGCCTCCTCTGATAATTCTAAAATGCATCTAAAATCCTGGTACTGAGTTTGGTATATCTATGATTTGTATTATTTACAAAATTTTTGTGATTATACTTCTTTTTCTAGTTATTTCATTACCCACATAATTTTTGAGAAAATGATGAGGGCCAGCCTGGGCCATGGTGGTTAAGGCCATTGGATCCCACATGGCTGAATGTGCAGTGTGAGTCCTGGACCTGATGTCTTGAGAAGTTTGCAGGGTTGTGTGTGTGCAAGTGTGCCCAAAATCCCAAGGGGAGGGATAAAGAGAAGAGGGATCGCTGTGTGACCATTCCCCATGTGGAATCCTTTTTCACTTTCCCTCTTTCTCTCACTCTCTCTGGTGAATGCGTGGGCCCTATGGCAAAATTAGAAGGAAAAAAGCTTTTCAGTGAGTGGGCCTCAGTTTTATGTTATATGACTGAACTCTTGTTGGTAACTGTACCTTAGGAATTGGAGAGACTGATGTAGGAAAAAAAAAACAACAACCTCTTTTTGGTCCTTGAAAACGCATTTTTAAAAGAATTCTCTAATTTTATTTATTATTATTTTAATATGAGCAGAGAGAGTGTGAAAGTGAGAAAGCAAGCTACCACGTCTGGGACTCAAACCATGGTTGGCCATGTGGGAGTCCAGCACCTTAACCACCACACCACCTGCCAGTCCCTTAAAATGCATTTTGATAAATGAGATATGCTGAGAAAAATACAGAGGAAGAGAATCTTGTTCATAACTAGGCTTCTGAATTTTAGGGAGCTGAAGTCGTAAATACTAATTTAAAATGGACACTTTCAGGGCCAGCAGGTGGTGTGTGTGGCTAAGGGTGTTGGACTCCCACGTGGCCAACTGAGGTTCACGTCCCGGACCTGGTGGCTTGCCTTCTCACTTTCTCTCTCTTTTCTTTCTCTCACTCTGTCCCTCTCTGGTCAAATTAAAATCAAGAAATAAATAGAGTTAAATAAAGTAATTCTTAAAAAATATATACACACTGTCTTCTGAAAGGGCGTTAGTGCTAGTAAACTGTATTCGGCAAGTTTAGAGTCAGTACAGGCACAACATCATGTACTCTGTTTTATTTGTATTTCAGATGCCTTTGGTGCTTCATGAAGAATATTTCCAGATACATCACAGATATTAAGCCTTTGCCTCCCAACATAAAAGATAGACTGATTAAAATAATGAGCACGCAGGGACGTATAACAGATTCAAATATAAGTGAGGTAAGAGTATAACTGTAAAGCAAATATCATCTTTTATTGTTTACATATGGCTTCAGAATTTTGGAGCAATGATATAGGTAGGATTAGTAACCATCTGAAAATAGTAGGATTAGGGCCAGCAATAGCATGGTGGGTACATCGCTGGACTCCTACATGAATGACTGTGATCTGAGTCCTGGACCTGGCGACTTGAAACATGCTGGGCGCATGTGCATGTGTGCCCAAAATCTGGAGAGGAGAATGGAGGAGAAGGGATTGCAGCATGGCCATCCACCCGTGGGGGGTGCGATTCCTCACTTTCTGTCTGTCTGTCTCTTTGGCGACCAAATGTGCCAAATAGCAAAATTCTCTGAAAAATAGAATTAGTAATCACTTAACAATATAAAATATCAGGATTTTTTTCTGTAGATAATCAAAATGCCCATATGTAACCCTAAAAAATCTTCTCCCACCTTTGTCTCAGTTACTTCCCTTGTCTTCATGGTATCAGTACCTTAATCTCCAAGTTTTAAAAAAATGTTTACCTTATTGGTCAAGACTTATAAAAAGAAATATGTATTACCTTGTGATTCAGCCCACACTTACATGTAACAATTCTGTGTGTAGTAGACTTTGGTATTTTTTTATTCTATTTTGTCCTGTTTCAATTTTTTTTTTTTTTTGATGTTTATCACAGTCTACTGAATTGATTTCATAGTTTGGCAGTTAAAAATTGCTCTTCTAGGGACCATCAGTTGGCGTAATGGCTATGTCGCTGGACTCCCATGTAGTCAACCACGGTTTGAGTCCTAGATCCAGTGGCTTAAACTCACGCCGGGCACATATGCGTGTGTGCCCAAGATCCCGAGTGGAGAATGGAGGAGAAGGGATTGCGGCATGGCCATCCCCCCGGGGAGTGATTTCTTGCTTTCTGTCTCTCTGAATCTCTCATTCTTTCTGGGGAGTGCATGGGCCCTATAGACAAAAAAACAAACAAACAAACAAACAAAAACCTCTCCAAAAAAGAAAAAAAAAATTGCTCTTCTAAACACATTCCATTCTTCTGGTTTCTTCTCTCTTTGCTGCTAATTTATATTTACTTCCCTTCCCTACAGCTAAGCTAACCTTCCTCAGGACACCTGTGCCCTTTTTACTGGACTTTCTATAAAGCAGTTAATATAGCAAGGGCTTCCAACCCAAGTTAAATGTCCAGTTTTGCCACTCTTTCTAGCACAGAGCCTCAAGTCTCTGAACTGTGAAATGGGAGGTAAAAGTAACCACTTGCAGAGGTTTTATGAAGATTATTTCAGAATGGTTACTGTGGTTCTTGGAAAATCATATGAGCTTGAGACTGAGAACATAGCTGGCCAGAAGTAGTAATCTGGGTCCTCAGAACAAAAACCCATGGGGGGACCAGAAGTTAGCATAATGGCTATGTTGCTGGACTCCCAAGTAGTCGACCGTGGTTTGAGTCCCAGACTCGGTGGCTTAAACTCACTCCTGGCATGTGTGCATACGTGCCCAAGATCCCGAGAGGAGAATGGAGGAGAAGGGATTATAGTGTGGCCATCCTCCCTGGGAAGTGATTTCTTGCTTTCTGTCTCTCTGTCTCTCTCTGTCTCTCTCTGTCTTTCCAGCAAGCACACGTGCCCTATAGCAAAAACCTCTCCAAAAAAAAAAAAAGGAAAACCCATGGGCACTCAGGCTAATGGAGGAGAGGTGGCCTTGTGCTGAGAAACAGTTGTAAAAAAGGAGAGCTGGCTGTTCTTTCTTGATTGAAAGAGAAGCTTATACTTTTTACATTTACTAAATAATTTTCTTATCTTAACTTTGTAAAGGTCCAGTCATGTGAAAACTACCCTTTTATACTAATCTTCAGTGTGCTGAACTTAATTATAGAAATGTTAAAAGGTAATTACACAAATAGTAAACATGTGCCAAAGATTGAAATAACTCATTAATAAAAGGACCAGCACAGATGCAAAAATAGTAAAGTGTATTTGAGAAATCGATATTTATCTATACACACTCATATACACGTGGAAAAAACAAAGCTGGAATGAGCTTATTAAATACAAAGTTGGATAATGTCTTGTAGGACATTTAAACTAACTATTAAGGCTTTCTTTGCATCTCTGTAGAAAACAATGCATTTGTAGGACAGCAGTTAACACTAAGGTTAAGATGGCTTGATCCCACATGACTGACTGCCTGGTTCAAGTCCCAGATCTGGTGGCTTGAAAAACATGCCGAGTATGTGCACATGTATGCCATAAAAATCCCAAGAAGAGAGTGGAGGAGAAAGGATTGCCGTGAGGTCATCTTTCCTGAAAGGTAGTTTCTCATTTTTTCTCTCTGTCACTTCCTGGTGAGTGCACACGTCCTGTAGCAAACAGAAAGAGAGAGAGAGAGAGACAGAGAGAGAGAATTAAAGAAAGAAATGCATTTGCATGTTATCAGTTTTCTGTAATATTTCACTTTACAGGATCATAAAGTTGTAAGGATCTTTGCTTTAATTAATAGTAAGTAGGAGATCAAACAATGATATATTTTCTTTTTTCTTTTTTGCCATAGGGCACATGTGCTTGCCAGGAAGACAGAGACAGAAAGCAAGAAATCACCCCCAGGGGAATGGCCACACCACAGTCCCTTCTCCTCCATTCTCCTCTCGGACTCGTGGGCACGCACACACGCACTTGGCAGCCAGCATGAAGTAAAGCCCCCGGGTCCAGGACTCTAACTGCAGTTGACTATGTGGGAGTCCAGCGACGTAACCATTATGCCATCTGCTGGTCCCAACAATGGTACATTTTCTTAGATAGTCAATCAACCCTTACGTGGTATTATAGGTTGAATTATATCTCCCTCCAAAAAATGTACTGAAGTCCTAACCTCCAGTAAGTAGCTCTGAGTGTGACCTTTTGAAACAGGGTCAGTACAGATGTAATCAGTTATGCTGAGGTCATCCCAGAGAAGAGTGGGCCTCTGATCCAATGTGACTGGTGTCCTATAAGAAGATGGCTGTGGGAAGACACAGAAATACCAGAAAACACTGTAAGATGGAGGCAGAGAAACACCAAGGAGATCCCGGAACAGCTTCTCCCTGAGAGATCTGAGCAGGAGCTCATGCTGCAGACACCTTGATTTCAGATTCCTAGCCTCCACAATGTGGAGGATGAATCTCTGTTGTTGTAAGCCACCTAGTTAGTGATACTTTGCTATGGAAGCCCTAGCCAACTAATACGGGCAGGCTTCTCACATTGTCTGGCTTGATCCAATGGCATTGTAATCTTTTCCTACTGACTTATTTTCAGGTGTTTTTGTATAAGTTTTCTTAATAATAATAAAAATTAAGTATGAATTTATTTTTCATCCCTTAATAACAGAATGAAATAATTTCTAATTCAGCTTTTCAATATACGATGTAAGTTATTTTATCTGTGTGTGTGTGTTTTTTAAAGAGTAGGAATAGAAGTTATGAGAAATTAACATACTGGTTTAAAAAAATGAGTTATTTTGTTGGACGTCATGTTAATGTTTAAAAGTTGTAATGGGCAAGGAAAATAATTAGTCCATGAAAGTCAATATGTTACACAAAGGGTAAAGATATAAGTTTCTTTCTAAAAAAGAATAATAACACACATATAAAGCCTCATATAGGGACCAGCAAGTGGCGTGGTGGCTAAGGTGCTGGACACTCCCACATGGCCAACCACGGTTCAAATCCTGGACCTGGTGGCTTGCTTTCTCACTTTCTCTGTCTCTCTCTGATCAAATTAAATGAATGAATAAATAAAGTTAAATAAATAATTCTTTAAAAAAAACCCTCATATTATAAATAGATGCAAGAATTTTTTTATTGTTCCCAAAAAAGAATCACCCTCTTTGGGCCCTTTGGTTCTTTGGTTCTTAAGATCAATAATCCAGTTTGTTTTCTTTTAAAATAGTTGTGTTCTCTAGCTTTGGCCTGTGGGCATATAACTCCCCATGTACACAGGAGTTAAGGACGTGCAGTTCCCTAACTGGCCAAATCGGTGTACTGATTATCTCAACTGCAATCACCTGAGGGATTGTAGCTATAGAAAAGTCCTGTGCCCTTTTTCTACATAGGATAAGCCATAAAAATTCCTCTGGGAGGGGTATCTTTCCGTACCAGGGTGAAAAAAATAGTCTTTATAACCAGAACACGGTAATTGGACCTGCAATGAACTTGAATAAATAAACTTACTGAACCAGCCCTTATCTTCCACTAGCTTCACATTCCTTCATATATCTCCTGCTGACATCCCTGGAATTTACCGCCCTGGTCCACAGGTCCCTTTGTCCTGTCATTCCTTCACCAATTTATTGTTCTTTGTCTGAAAGTACAAACGCACCTCACTTTGGCACCTCGCTTTGAACTTCACACTCATAAAGACACCCATTATGTATTTGTACAACTAATAAATTTTGTATGCTTTTCTCTTGTTAATCTCCCTTCTGTTAATTTAGTTCCCAGGTGCTGCCTAAAATCCAGTTTAATATCTAAGAGAAATAAGGGTGATTATTGACCCCTTCAGTAGCTGTGAAGTGGAGGAGTAAAGGAGGCCAGACCCCAGTCTGTGTGAGCCCTTTCCAGCTGACCTACGGTGAAGAGGGCTAGTAAGGGGCTGGAGTGAAGGCAGAGGGCCCAAGCACCAGAAAGTGATAATCACTCCTCATTCTGACAAACACCTCCTTGGATAACAGTTTAACCTTCAGCCTCTTGTTTTTTTTAAGATTGTTAAATAGCATAGTACACAATTCCTTAAGTATTACTCAGATGTTGCCTTTTGTATTTTTGCTATTGGGTCATAGACATAGACAAATGTAAAAAAAAAAAATACGTCATGAATTTTCCAACATAATATTTGTGTTTCAAAACCTGACAGTACTAGTTCACAGTGTCCACGTTACTTCTGTTTTGACACCTGTCCGGGAGTGCCACCATCACCACTGTCCGCAGACCAGAGCTGCTGTTGCTTAGACTGGACACTGCACGG